TAACATGCCATGCTTCATAAAACTCCTTCATCACTGGACGCTGTAAAAAGCATTAACCTTTCCTGCAGACCTTACCAGATGCCATTACGAGACTCAAGTAAGATAAGGTACCTTCACTTCTTCCGAAAGAGAACAGAATAAGTTTTCGAACATAGCAAAAAATGCTGCAACGGTATTCGGAGGAGAGGCAACAACAGAATCCATAATTGACACTATTCTTAAGTAGGTGAATTAGATATAACACCCTTCACTCGATTTAGAAAACTTGACTGTACTGCATACCGAGCGATTAACTCGACAAATTTATCAACATCGCAAGCTTTCTCGTCCACCACAATCTTACTCAACTCTTGCATTGTCGAAACGTCAACATTTCCAGCTGAAATGCTATCCAGTACCTGAATCACGACTCATTACTGACTTGTTAGCTGAATTAGAAGAATAGCAGAATTTTAGTACTCCACTCACATCGCCTATCCGCCGTATAAAATCGTTGTTATCATCAGTAGATTCACACGGAACGTCAATACCATTGCGATTGCTGATAGAAAGATCCTTCAAAAAGTAAGGCAACTGTTTCACAGAGTGATTTTGCACAGCAGTAGACTCCTGCTCCTAAATAATGCTACTTGATGTGAGGATTAGCACCTAATTAAGTTTATTTTAATAAACATACCTTGTCCACGAGACGAAGAAAGTCGCCAGGTAAAATTTTTCGTGATTTCTGCTCTATACCTGAAAATGATTGTAAGATTAGGGATTAGGTCGGCTCATGACTTTTCATATCTTCCGCAGCTCCGTTTTGAATTTCATCCATAAAATCCAGTTTCCCCGTAAATTACTACAACCAGACACAATTCGAAGTGCATGACTGTGCTTCTACACTGCGAGGAGGCCTGTGGAAACTAACGATAAGAGAATTGGACGTTTGATACAACGCGTAACCAGTTTTCACAGAGCAGGAGAATAGTTTTATCCAACATTTCACCAAGAGATGCTAGCTCTTCTGACTTCAGTAAATCCGGAATGACCCTCAGTTGATAGACTTCCCAGAAAAGTCTTATTTGTTCCACGAAAAATGAGTCATCCCTTGCGTGCCTGAAATACGATAGAAATAACAATTTTGATAATTTCCACAAGAACTTTTTGCAGTCACGTATTTTACCTCAGACTAATTGGTGACCTCAGATAGCTATGAAGGTTGAGTTAGATCATGAATGATGTATTCGTTTTGAGAGCTTTTCTAACCCTCTCCCTCTCGACGTACCCAAGACCAATAAAATTTAACGACAACATCTTCATCTCTTCGGAGCAAAAGGATGTCACCCAATCTTCTCAACGCACTTCGCATGATCCTTTCGCTCTAATTATATCACTTCTCGGCATTTTACAAGTGGTGGGGCATGAGATCAGTCGTAACGGACGAAATCTAATAATCAGCTCCCTGTAATCCACAGGTTGCGAATTTATATTTGGAAAACAAACTGCAGTGAGCGGCGTTCTTCGAAGGGGGGGGGGGGGTCGATGCGTCTAAGTGGCCGATATTTTTTTTACTGATCATCATAACTCGGTTCAGGGAAGACCAGAGACTGATAAAAAGGGATAGAAATATCAAGAGGAGAGATCAAATGCTAACGGTGTGAGGAGTTGCACAAAGATGGATGAGGGTTTTCACGGAATCAATGTTCGTCCGCGACGGCCCGTAAACAGGGAAGAAAGAAGTGAGAGTTTGGCGAAGAAATGAAGGATAATCCCAATATTGAGCGTGAGTGCATCGAAGTTTCTGGACTGCATTATAAGGTTAGTGGGAACGGCTTCTCACTGACATTATAATTTGGTTCAGAAAAGGCCTGGAGACAGAGATAACGAGCAGTCGAACGTAGGAGGGAAAGCCAAATGGTGCAAGAGGAAAGCATGCGTGGGGCTGAGCTAGAAATGAAACCGCACAATTCGATCCTAGAACGCCCGAAGATTGCTGCGTTTAATATTGTATATGCTATAGCATGCGGCGCCAAATTGGGCCACGTTATACTATTCGACGAGAAGATGCGAATAGGGGAAAGCAATTCCTGAAGCAGTGACAGACATTACTCGGTCGGATGCACAGGGCAAAACATTCCCCGGCTGACGCTGAAACGACAGAGCAAGCATTTTAAGATGTTTTAGAGCGCGGTTAAATAGATGCTGAAATTTGAACAGGTATGGTGCAATCCGAGAATACCTATACGATCTACCTCACCCTTACACATATGAGGTAGGCTCGCAGAATGAGTGAGGGTGAATGATATTCTGCAAATGGAAATTGGATCCACACAATAAGTTACCCGGAGAGTAAGAGAAGGTAGAGAGGAAACCAACGGATCGCCACTGCTTCCCTATCTTCTTCAGACAAGCCAACCAAGAGTT